AGTTTATTTTAAAACTATAGTTAACTACAGTTTTAGAGTAAACTGTAGTTTATTTATATTATTTGTAAATTATAGTTCACATCTCTACCTTCTATAAATGTGATTTAATAATAACGGTATCAAAAAAAAGGTTAAAATCTGCATTTAATAAAATCCTGCATTTAGTAAAAGCCTACACTTAAACCTGCATTTTAAAACTTTCGTTTTCTTTTTAGAAAAGCATGAGAAAAAGCATGAGAAAAAGTTCGAGAGAAAAAGCCTGAGAAAAAGCACGCATTAAAAAAAAAAACTATTTCTTACTATATCACCGTTATGGTTTTTTTTTTCTAGAAAAAAAAAGGAAAGCTGCACTTAAAAAAAATAAGCCGCACTTAAAAAAAAAAAAAGGAAAACTGCACTTAAAAAAAAAGCCGCACTTAAAAAAAAAAAAACACATATATATATACACACACACTTGCATTTAGAAAAAAAAAAGATTTTTTTTTTATTAATCTATCTTCCGGTCGGCCCTTGTTGATCTTGTTATGGTGGGATTTTTTCTTTATTACAGCTTATGTTAAAGAATACGATTTAGAAAAGTAGCTATTTTTACATTAGCGTATTAAAGTTTTTTGCTTAAACTCTAATGTCAACCAAGTCACATTCTCAAGATGAATTTGAAGAGAGTGGACCACCATTCTTGTACCACGGTGAATTTTACTCGGATGATTTGCATCCGGATGAATCTTACCTAAACCAAGACGAATCGTGCCAAGAAGAATCTTACCTGAATCAAGATGAAACGTGCCAAGATGAATCATATCAAAGTGATTCATACCAAGATAAATCACAATCTAATGAATCATACCAAGGTGGCCCACATCAAGACAAATCTTTCTCAAATGAATCATCATCCCAGGCGGGACCTTCAACTTGCAATGAAACCTATACAAATGACGGGTAATATATGCAAAGCTTTGCTTTAACATTTTTTATTTATCGACTTTTTATTTATCTACTTTTTTATTTTATAGATCCATTGTGTGGGCGTATTTTAGAAAGGCAAAAGGCAGTGCTACATGTGGTATTTGTAACAA